TGGAGGGGAGAGAACGACAGATGCTGTACAAGCCTGCAGGCACTATTAACTAGTTCAGGCGAAAGCCACTGCCCTGCATCCAAAAAGGTGTGGGGTACACAGTGAATACCGTTGTCCGCGACGACCGAACTGAAATTCCCTCACACCCACCTTGATCCATTGACAAGGCCACCTCAACGCCACCAGAGGTGAGCGTAGACGCAATGAATGACGACATTCAACAGTCCATCTGAGCATGATACACAAGGCCGGATCCCAATTTACATGTACATGCTGTGATACGTGACAGGTGTCCCGAAGGATACGTGCACGTCCAGACATTCGACGCTTACAGAGCCATAGAGGCGCTGGAAAAGGGGACCGTATGAGTGCTCAGGGAGCAGTATATGATGCGTTGTGTAAGCACCTGCTGTGGAGCGGTTCCGTAAACAACCCAGACGTATGAGTGCGAACAAAATTCGAAATGAATTGCTGTACCGAAGGTAGTAAATGGTGGTAATAAGGACCAATAAGCTTACGTGATGTCAACATTTCCTGGAGGAGTGTAAACGAGAAGAACGCGAATGACGCGCGTATGTTAGAGCTCAGGGTATTACTTCGTTATTTGCAGATTCACGAATGACTGACCAAACACATATTATTGAAATATTCCGTCGTAAAGTGCGAACAGTTTGCAACAGTCCTTACGCTGCTGGTTGAGGCGATGAATGTGAACGTGGCAACAGCAGTATAATAAAGGCTTATGGTGGCGGCGGTCAATTTGAGGGCGGTCGCAGGTGTCCGGTCACAGCGCTGGAACCATGAGATTTGGAATATGTGCCTTCTGTGATGTTGCTAATGATGTTGGCGTTCTGTGTCGTTGTTTTTAATTTGGTTGGATCATCAGGACGGTGAGTTTGAGGACGCCAATGTAGTCAATACATACCCTGAACCTCGGCCAATAACGAAGTGCTGGCCATCTGCATCGTTAATCCGCGGAATTTGCGATTTTCATGCGCATGGCTCCACCTAAATCTCCTCCGTGCGACGGACTTCTGACGGCAGTACGCCAGGCCTCCCGATCTCGAGCGAGGTCGACCTAGTCATACATACTGATTTGAAGTTGTTTGAGTACAGTCTTCGGAGTACCCCTGTAATGAAACGTTTGTCGGTCCTTTCTGCAAATATCATAAATAACGCCACTGTAGAACGACCGCTCTGACAGACGGACGATTATCTTTATGGCTCCCAACTCTTTCAGAGCTGACTCTGCCTCATTTAAGCGCGGGTACTGTGAACACAGGTCCTTTCCGGGAATTCGGCGTCAGATTTTGAGTATTCACGTCCATGACCCGCATAGGATCAATGATAGTGTAAGAGACAAACCCACTAGTTGGGCACAGCGAGTAGGCCATCCAGGAAAGGAAAATAGCAGTATCCCAACAGTTACAAACTAGTAAATAAAAACAAAGTCGTCAGCAGGTAAAAGTGCACGAGCCTGTTCTTTGTCTTATTCAAAGTTGTGTCAAAACGTATTGTAACTGATTAAAACAAAATGGACTTAAATGTCCCTACAATACTCCCCCTCCTAGGAGAACGGAGTTCAAAAAAATTATTGTTTATAGAAGGAAAATGTTGGAGTGTTATGCATATTGTACAAGTTGGTAACGATCGGGAAAACAGACATTACGACCGCTGCGCCTAAGGGGAGGAGTCTGTGGGATGAGGGAAGACGCGGGGTTATTGGGCGTAAATGGAGTTTGGGAAATAGTAAGTGGCAATGTGCCAAGTGGAGGTTGTTCGGTTGGAGAAGTTGGAAGAGGCTCGATATAAGCCGCCTTCAAGCGATCGATTGAGACCACGTCGGTTCGGCCTCCACGGTCAATTGTAAAATGCTTGTCCTTGCGCGATAGTACTCGAAATGGGCCGTCATAGGGCTGTTGTAGTGGCCGGCGAACGCTATCTACGCGGACAAATACAAAAGAACATGTTAGTTAGTTCGGGTCGACGTACGACTTACTTGTTGAAGGACGTGGAGGAGTTGCTCGAAGTTGAGTCATGGATTGGCGCAATCTTTGCACATAATTGCTGGGATCCAATTCCTCTGAGCTTTGAGAGTGCCCGAAAAAATCTCCGGGAATCCGTAGGGTGGTACCGTAGACAAGTTCGGCAGCGGAACACTCCAAGTCGGGCTTAAGTGCGGTACGGATACCGAGCATGACCAAAGGCAGATGCTCGCTCTAATGGGAAGGGTTTTCATGAGCTCGGAGCGAGGCTTTGAGTTGCCGGTGGAAACGCTCGACTAAGCCGTTGGATGAGGGGTGGTATGCTGTTGTGCGTATGCGAGAACATCCGAGGAGGTTGGTAAGGCTGTTAAAAAGTCTAGACTCGAATTGCTGGCCTTGATCGGTGGTAATAGTTGAGGGGACGCCATAATGAGAGATCCAGTGTTCCAAAAAAGCATGAGCAACGGAATCGGCAGTTATGTTAGGTATGGGAGTTGCAATGGGCCAACGAGTAAATCGGTCAATCGCAGTAAGTAAGCAGTTTCAACCACGAGATGTTGGAAAGGGACCTACCAGATTGATATGGACATGTGAAAAACGTGCGTCGGGTGCGAGAAAAGTGCCAATGGGGGCTTTGTTGTGCCATCCGACTGTGACCTTCTGACAGGCCAAACATGAACGGGTCCACTGGCGGATATCCGTGTTCATGCTTGGCCAAACGAACCGCTAGCTGACGAGGCGCTGGGTAGTGCGGATGCCAGGGTGAGCTACATTGTGCAACGCGGCAAAAAACATCTCGTCTCATCTCGCTTGGCACTACGGGTCGGGAGGCACCGCGCGATACGTCACACAAGATTGTACCAGGGGTGGTGGAAAGAGGAATGGCTTCGAGTTGGAGACTAGTGTGTTGAAGGCTCTCGCTGAAAGTCGGCTGATTTTGCATTTCTGCCATGCGCTCCAAATCGATGGAAGGGCGGGTGATGGCATTAATGCCAGGCCGAGAAAGACAATCAGCAACTTGATTATAAAGGCCTTCAAGAAATCGAATGTCGGTGGTACACTGAGAAATAAAATCGAGATGGCGGGCCTCGCGGGGTGAATACTTGTCAGAAGAAGTAGAGAGAGCATAAGTAAGAGGCTTGTGGTCAGTATAAATACAAAAATCTCGGCCCTCAATATAATTACGAAAATGCTTCATGGCTAAATAAATTGCAAGAAGTTATCTACCAAAAGTGCTATAGCGAGTTTGTGGGGGTGTCAATTTGGCGGAGTAGTAAGTCAAGGGCTGGGTGCCAGTGGGCGTCTGTTGATGAAGGGCAGCACCTAAAGCGAAATTAGAGGCGTCGGCCACAATGAAAAGTGGGGCATCAGGTATAGGGTGAACAAGGACAGTTGTATCTGCAAGAGCCTTCCTCGCACGATTGAAAGCCTCTACAGCTGTGTCAGGAAAAGAAAGCTCACGGTTGTTCCCGCGTAAAAGGTTAGTAAATAGTATCATTACTTGAGCACAATGAGGGATGAAACGTCGATAGAAATTGACAAGGCCTATAAAACGGCGCAGTTATTGAAAAGAAGTGGGAGTAGGGAAATCGCGAATATCTGAAACGTTGGCATCTATGGGATGACAACCAGAAGCATCTACGCGATGTCCTAGGAAAAACAGCGACTGTGCGCCAAAACGCATCTAGAAACATTAATGAAAACGCCAAATTGGCTCAATCGTTCAAAAATGAGACGCAAGTGTTGTAGGTGAGCGTGTTCACTGGAACTTGCTACCAGAACATCGTCGACGTAGACAAAAACGAAAGGTAGATCGCGGAGGGCTTCGTTGGTGAATCGTTGAAAAGTTTGAGTGGAGGTGCGTAGCCCAAAAGGCATCCTGACAAACTCGAACAGACCGAACGGTGTTGTAATCACCGTTTTGGGAATGTCTTCTAGAGCAACGGGTATCTGATGGAAGGCTTTGCCTAAGTCAATGTTGGAAAATATTGTCGCTCCAGCTAGGCTAGATGAAAAGTCGTGGAGATGGGGAAGTGGATACCTGTCGGGCACAGTGGAGGTGTTTAACCGTCAGTAATCCCCGCATGGGCGCCAGTCAACGAGAGACTTTTTGCACACCATATGTAGAGGTGCAGCCCATGGACTAGTGGAAGGCCTAACTATACCTAGCTCCATCATGTGACTGAATTCGGCCTTGGCTATGGCTAACTTATCGGCGGCTAAACGACAGGGACGGCTAAACACGTGTGGTCCAGTAGTCGAAATATAATGTACAACAGAATGCTTGATAGGTTGGTTAAATTGTGAAAGTCGTGTGATAGATGGAAATTCCGAAAGTAAACGATGATAGGGCGTAGACGAAAGGATTGTTGAAATGCGTGGATTAGGTGAGGAAAGGGTACGAGTGGAACAATTACAATGTAAAGAAGTTTTAGGATCAAACAATTTATGGGATTTAATGTCAACGAGGAGACCGAAAAAAAGGAAATAAAATCAGCGCCAAGAATGGCCGTATGGACATCAGCGATAGTAAATAGCCAACGAAATGAACGTCTTAGACCCAAATCTAGTGTTAGGGATCGTTGACCAAAAGTTTTAATAGAAGTATAGCTAGCTGCTTGGAGGAAAAAGGAAGAATTTGGTGACTTACGGTCAGTCAAGGTGGGTGGGATTAGACTGATCTCCGCACCAGTATCCACGAGAAAATTACGACAGGAAGTTCTGTCAAAGATGTGGAGTAAGCGACTGGGAGAGGATGTGCCGACCACGTTCGTCGCCCTTACTGTTCGGCAGGGGAGTTTTCCGACGCGGCTGTTTTATATTGCACGGAGAGTGGCAGCAATGGGCGTTAGAACCATGATTATGATGATACCAACAGAAACCATCAACTGTAGGTTTGTTTGGAGTGGGAGATCTCGGGCGGCGAGAAATTGCAGGACTACGAGGGTTATAGACACAAGTGGCCCGGAGATGGGAAACTTCGAGAGTGAGGGCATTCAGGCGTTTGACGACATCCTAGATTGTGGAGGCAGTTGTGCTTCGACTAGCGACGTTAACCGTAACAGGAGGCTGGTAGTACTCGAGTATACGGTCTGCAGTCTCCGCGAGCATCTGAACAGTCGATGAAGGAATGTTAGGCGCAAGGATGGCTTGCACAGAAGGAGGCAACCGTTGGAGGAAAAGTTGCTTGAACATGGTAGCATCCAGCTCTTGTCCGTTTGCCAACTGCTCCAAACGCCTAAGAAGCTGCGTAGGCTTCCTGTCACCGAGGTCCTCCTCAGAAATTAAACGTTGGAGACGTTTTTGCGTTGAGAGGGAAATGCGGGAAATGAGAGCCTCCTTTAGGGCAGTATAAGGGGCTTCTGTGGGCGGGCAATCTATGATGTCGCGGAGGTCTGTGGCGATGTCCATTGGGAGTGCTGCCACAACATAGTGAAATTTCGTATCCTCTCGTGTGATCTGACGGAGGGCGAATCGTGACTCTACAGTGCGCAGCCACAACGCGATGTCACCGAGCCACACGGATGGCAGGTCAAAGGTGTGAATGCCGGCTATCGGCTGGCTGGTAGAATCGTTGGACATAGCCGAGGTCGGTCAGAGGTCAGATAAATGGAGTAGATGACTGGCGCGTTGACAGTGAGATTGAAGGGTAGCGCTCGTATTGGATGAAAGGGTGAGACAGCGTGAATAGCAAATGAGGGCTGGATGAATAATCTGATCGATAAAAATTAGAGTGAGGATTAATCCAAATAGAAATAGTTATGCACAGAAATTAAACAGAAGGAGCTATGAACGATACAGGGTCACCAGTGTAAGAGACAAACCCACCAGTTAGGCACAGCGAGTAGGCTATCCAGGAAAGGAAAATAGCAGTATCCCAACAGTTACAAATTAGTTAATAAGAACAAAGTCGTCAGCAGGTAAAAGTGCACGTGCGTGTTCTTTTTCTTATTCAAAGTTGTGTCAAAGCGTACTGTAACTGATTAAAACAAAACGGACTTAAATGACACTACAATAGAATGCTGACTCTATGTGTCATGAGTTTTTTTTTCAGCGGAGGCTGCGGCGCTCCCAAAATGCTTGTTGCGAACGAACAATGGGCCAGTGGGTATAAGAAGTCAGATTCAAAATTGCATGCTAAACTTTGCTATTTCCTAAAATGTCGTTTGAAAGGAATGGGAATCTGTTTATAAATGCAAGCCGATTAGAGGATAGTTTTTGCCATCAGTTGGCGTGGCTTAATACACTGCCGCAATCCCCTCCATACTGATGGCCATACCAAAGTTGGAGCAGTCGAAAGCAAGGAATCCCACATCTCGCTGGATATCTTCCTCCGCTGTGGTGCTTAATGCACAATTATGGTGGCGCTCTTAAAATCTTTTCTTGCAATAAATAAATGCAATAAATAATTTATAGATGTTTTGTCAGATTTTGAATAATTCATATTGACCCAACTGTGAAAACTCGGCGCCTCGGTGGGATTCGAACCTACGCAGAAGGGGAGTTAGTGGGTAGTGAAGAAAGCATCTTTTTACGAAAAAGACGAAATATTTATGAATCGATCGGCTTTTCAGGAAGGGAGACTGTTGCTCATGAAAGGGTTGACGTGCGGGTCGGATAGGGCTGGCATGCATATGGTAGTGTATAAGAGACGCAAAACTGACATCGTCAAGGTATACTTCCTAAACCGGATGAGGCCGTCCGCCTCGAAGAGGCGAGGCAAGAAGAACCCTGTCGCGATCTGTCAGAGTGCGGTTAGAGTTCAGCCGAGGAGTGGGAATTAAAGGCTGCGGCGGTAGACAAGGCGTAGAGGGGAGATGCGATCATGAGAACTCTTTGCTGACCGACCAAACTACTAGCGGATGACGAAAACAGACAATTCCGCCGTGATCGTCAACAGGCCGGTTGGGGTGATAACATTAAGAAGCGCGAAAATCATTGACCAGAGGTGAGATCTTGAGATCTCAGAGGTCAAAGTCAATTCCCGATTAAAGCCGACAATTGGCGAAACGAAGGTGACCTAGAATGTACACGTCAAACTGCCCCCGCTACTTCTTTGAAAGGATTTGCAAGGGGGGACATCGTGTTTTGTGAGTGGACACAATGCATGGACTGAAAAATCGAAAAAATCTAAATTTCTGATGAGAGATCCTTGAAAACGAAATCACACACAAAGAAGGAAATGTGAGCGAATACAGAAATTTAAAGCCGGCATCATAAATTCCCATTGACCCTTTCTCGGTGTCATAGAGAAGGTTTTCTGGGAAGCATGAGGAAAATAAAAGTTTGGTCGAGTCAGTATTCAGATAAAAGCGCAGCCTTCCGTTAAAATTATGTAGAGTATCTGATGATCTTATATCTATTGGAAGGTTATTCCAAAGGAAAGTATACCTGGAAGCAAAAAAGAAAGCCCTCAGAGGTGGAAAAAGCCGGAAGAGGTATAACCAAGGGAGAATTTCGAAGACTGTATGGGCGACTAACAGGAGTAAGAGTTGAAATCCGAGGAAGATTTGAACGATCATTAATGCGAAAGTGGAGGCAGAAGCCTACTTCTAGTATTCGAACCCATAGAAATTTTGGGTTAGTTAGCTAGCATCTGTCTGAATAAGACGTATTTGGATGTGCCGTGATCAATGGTCTTCTATATGAATGCCTTTGGGCATTTATAATTTTTGAACGACTAGCCTCGAACATCAAACCAGAGAGCGGACAACAGTACTCAAGAACAGGGAGTACAATCACTCGAATATGGAAAGATGGAAAATGGAAAGTGTTGCAAATCTGGGCAGTTTTGGCCGTAATTCTATCGACATATGGGCGAGAGGCCATGATTATTGTTGTACCTTAAACCTAGGTTTTGAATGGTGGCAAATGCAGTCATAGGTGTGCCTTGAAAGACCACTGGTGGGAATATTCTTTCAGGTTAAAGACACACATAGCGGCATTTAGATGGAGAGAATTCCATTAACCATTTCGAGCTCCACGCCGAGAAAGCAAGCAAGTCAGTATGGATTTGCTTCAAACAATATTGGATCGCAGATTTAGTAAATAAATGTACGCATTTGGGGTCATCAGCACAAATAAAAGATTGAGAATGTTTAACTGCCGACGGAATATCATCAATGGAAAGCAGAAACAAAAGAGGACCTAAAACGGTACCTTTTAGTACACTACTTACAATACATTGTTGAGAAAAGAGGGAACTCTGTGGTCGTCGGCAGGTTGCAGTTTTTTCCTTATATAAATACACGACGGCGGCGTCCTTGAAATCTGTAGAATTTGTTCTCGTCAGTTCGTCCGAAATGGCCAAATGTTTTTTTCCTTGATCGAAGGGCCGTCTTGTAAAATTTCAAGTGGGGGTGAGGCAATGTCCTCTACTTTAACGTTCGAACCTGTTAGACAGCTTTAATAATTTCCTACAGCGAGAGCGGACAGTCGATCTCTTCAGTGATTTCCATATGAGGGAGTCTGTAAACCGTTTCGTCGAATTTTGCGAATGAATGGTTGAGAACACCCCTACAGTGCTCAACCAGAACCTCAGAAACTTGTTATTTTTCCACCGGAACCGAATAACGATGCAGTAAGACCAGCCCACAGAGTAAACAACCGTTACTTCTGGATAATTCAAGGCAATGAGTTTAAAGTTCACGATACATGGATAAGTG